CCCCCCCCCTGACTTTTACTTACTCTAGTCCTGGCTCCTTTTCACTGCTATCTTTCAGCAACACCCCTGATCATCAGGCTGATGTAAGATCGAATACCTAGCCTTCTCGGATAAGGGCGAGAAAATCTAAGAGGTCCTGTGTGGTGCAAGTTGTGTATGGAATAGATCCCTTAGTGGTCCTAAAATTGATAAGAGTAGACGTCATATTATCCTGTCAAGGTTCAAAATTAATTAATCTACCGAACTGAAAATTGCTTTTGTCCCGCACGCCATATATATGACCTTGCCTGATGCAGTTGCGAGCGCCATGAAACATTTACCAAAACAAAATCTCTTGAGTCCAAGGGTGGTTGGGGGGCTCCACTGAAAATTCTACTTTTCTTTCATTTTGTTGTCTTCGGACCTGTTACTTTTTCCCAAACAGAGAGCATGACAGCTTGTGGGTCAACGAATGCTACTCTTGAGTATTTACCCAAACAAAATTTTTTTAGTCTTTAGACATTATAATCATTGGATTACTATTATCTACGAGTACAGTACAGTAGTCTCCACTTCAGATCTTGGTGCTCTGGAGCAAGGAAATTGCAGGATCTTCTAAGGGGAATGGGATCGTAGCTGAGGCATCAACGGAAGAATCTACTGTGACCCATGTTAAGACCCACCTCCGGTAAAATTGTCTCTTTTCGCTCTAAAATGAACTGACATGACCCTTGGGTTGGTTTATGACTTATGGCAAGCAAAAAATGGTCAGTCTTGATGCCTCATGCCTCTGTGATTGATCACAGTGATATCAGGTATGCCATTGTCACTTAATTATTATCCTGTCGTGAGTCTCAAAATTTACCCGATCCAGTTGCCCCTCCCCTTTACCCGTCCAAAATGTGTAGCTTTCCATCTCTGACCGAGTTTCCCCGCCTTTGTCGTTACGCTCCATTGTGTTGTGACCTCACCAATTAAAATTCAGTCTGTCTTGCAAATTCGGGAGTAGAGACAACTGTTGCAATGTGGTTGGGCAAGAATTCACAGTTGGATGTAGCGAATTTGTAGGCCCTACCCACCCAGCTTGTGATGTAAGTTTAGGTGGAGAGCTCAGTAGATGCGAGTCTGATATTAGTGGAAACAAACGTGTCTGTGAGTTCACACCTCAGTGTGATCCTGTTTGGATCAAACATTGTACCGTTTCATCGAGTTTTACAACGCTTATGTTATCACATTCATGAGAGTGGCTGATCTGTGATGAGATGGGTAGTTCATTGATCTCAACTTTTCATTCTTGGTTTATCAGCTGTGCCCACCCGCGTCTTTGTTCTGTAAATAAATTATGATCTGAAATGCGGGATTTTAGCCGAATGTAGACCTTCAGAGTGAATCAGAGCGGGATCTTAGGGGTGACTTTGGTATAGTAAAAATTCTATTTCTTAAGACACCAGGATCTTTAAGCAAACCAGGATCTTAGGCGGAGACTACTCTATTATAATGTAGACCAGCCACATTGTAGGCATTTCTTTTATTAGTTCTTGTACTATATATTAATCTAATCAGATGCAGCTACATTTGTAATATTCATGAGGCTTCGATTTTCTCTTGACCTTAGGCCCCAAACTGTGTGAAATTGACTGGAATGAACTGTAACAAACTGTAACAAACAACAATCAATATTGATCAAGGGAGAGCTAACATACCATGTCATGTATACATAGTTCAAGTTAGTGACTCAGTTGTAAGTAATCAATAGAAGCTCTCTCAAGTATTTTATTATTATAAATGATAACGATGGTGTCTACAGCCTGATCTGGAGATGACTGTTTTAGGTTTAACATACAATGCATCCTGTCTATAACGACCTTCGATATAACGACATCCTCTGTAAAGCAACATGGTGCCCAGGCCCCAATTTTTTACATATATTTTAATAAGTAACTTTTGGTTGCCTCTCTATATCGACAGCTCTCTATAAAAGACATTTTTTTCTAGTCCCGATAATGTCATAATAGAGAAGCTAAAGACGATACAATATCTTTTGTGTTAGATTTAATTAAGCAAAAAAAAAAAAAAAAAGAAAGAAAAAAGGAGGAGACCGTGTAATTTCTAGTAGCAGTGTCTCAGTTTATCGCTTTGCTGTCAAAGTGTACTTTGTGGGGAGAATTTTTATTGAGTATCTTGTTCTTTTAATTAGGGATTGCTTCCTTTTTCATGTCATGTTGTGTCATCTCTTGATTGCTTCCTTTTTCATGTCATGTTGTGTCATCTCTTGATTGCTTCCTTTTTCATGTCATGTTGTGTCATCTCTTGATTGCTTCCTTTTTCATGTCATGTTGTGTCATCTCTTGATTGCTGCCTTTTTCCAGGGCTGGCAAACTGGGAGCAGATTAGTGGAGGTTTTCCTGTAGTTGGGCAATATATGTAAGACTTTGATGCTGATAAATAATACTTAATTCCATTTATTTTCAACTTTATTTTACTCATTTTAATTAGATGAGTGCTGTGAAAGAAACACCCCCCCACCAAAAAAGCAACAAAAACAAACAAAACAACCCCCCC